TATTATTATTATTATTATTATTATTATTATTATTATTATTATTATTAATACCATCTAATCCCTCTCCAGTAACAGCTTGGAGCTCGCTTTTCCAGCACTGCCCGGGGGTTTGAACTCACCATGCGTGGGGGCTGCGGGCGTGGGGAGGGCAGAGACCTGCTCCATCAGGACCACCAGCTGAAGAAGGACTAAAAGACCCGCCATCCTGAGACAGGCTGCCTCGGGTCTCCTGGATCCGGTGTTGGTTCTGGTTCTGGTCTGGTCCCCCTAAGGAAGAAGTGCTGAATGTGTGGACAGCTCCGGCTCCGACAGGAGGAGGAAGAGGAGGAGGAGCAGGAGGAGGAGGAGGATGGAAACAAAGCTGGAGCTGTTGACGCGCCGCGGTGCTGAAACCAGGTCAGGTCCGATTAGAACCAGATCAGCAGAGGAGGCTCTTCAAAGCCCCGTGTGAGCTACAGCATCACCCGCCAGAGAAGAAAGGGGGAGCACCAGCAGAAGACCCGCCCCCTCCGTGCAGCGGGGGGAGGAGGCTAGAACACTGCAAGAAATGTTCAAGGCAGACCTGGATGGAGCTGCTGGTCCTAGAACTGATGAGACCAGAGCCGAACGGGTCCAGTTTGGTCTCATCATCGTGGATTCTGAGGATTTCCTGTGTGGTCAGCAGTGGAGCCTCCTGGGTCTTCTTCATCATCAAGATTCAAAACAGGACCTTCAGCTTCGGCTCCTTTTCTACCGTTTATGGGTCTGATCAACCCGGGGTCGCATTTCCCCTTGCGTCCATGTCCTGGGAGGTGGTCCACAGCCTCGTGAACCTTCTACTGAATAATCTTGTCAGCGTGTTCAGAGGAACCTGAAGCAGCTTGGACACAGTCTTGTAGTCTTCACCTTCAACATGGAGGTCTACAGCCCTTTGGTTCTGCTCCGTGAACAGAACTGACCCAAACCACCCAGAATCTGTTCCTTCAAGCAGGCTGAAGGTCTGATGGAGATACTGATGCAGGTCAAACAGTTGGAAACACGACCATAAAGATTAATGGTGTCTTTACGGGACCACCGGATCTGTATAGACTGTTTTCGTATATTTCTGAAAAACAAACAATAAAACATTTTTTATTGTTGTTTGTCTCAGAATAAAGATAAATAGACAGAAATACCATCAGAAAGAAAGGTTTTATTTAATCTGATGTTTGAGGTTACAGTTAAAGCCCAAGAGTTTAGTTTTGACTGGAATCAAGACAAAAAGTGGATTTTTCTTCTGACAAGTGAAAACAGCCAAAACATGGAGAATAAATAAAGATTGATTGTGAAACAAACACAAGGAAAGACTGGAAATAAACCAGATTTAAACTGGTTCAACAGCTGACTGCAAAATATACAAGGTCCTCCAGTTACTGTAGTTGTACACTCATTTAAGGGTAATTAAACATTATAAATTACTTATAGTAAAACTTTTATACTGCCATGTTTTGGTTTTACTGTGTCTGACTTTAGGTTACTCCCTCCCTCCCTCCCTCCCTCCCTCCCTCCATCCATCCATCCATCCATCCATCCATCCATCCATCCATCCAT